GGGGACAGAGCAACTGGGAAGAGCAACTTCTGACCCTCGACCTGTGGCTAAGTGGATACTTAAACACATCCATAGTTCACTTAGCTGAGGCTGCTCAGTGGGAACGAAACAATGGGGAATGGCCCCGATTCACGAGGGCAGCTGGAGAGAAGGGAAGCCTTTATTCCAGACAGCGTGTCTGTAAGCAGTTTGCCAGATCCTCCCATATGGAACTGACAAAAGCACTGAGCGATCCTGACCTTCATATTCTTATATTTTAAAAAGAATTATTTATTTTATTTTATCATTATTATTATTTTATTTTGACCAAAGAGAGACAGAGAGAAAGGGAAAATGAGAAAGCAAGCCATCAGGTCTGGGACTCATACTTTCGTGGGCCATGTGGGAGTCCAGCACCTCGACCATCACGCTACTTGCGGGTCCTAACCCCCTATTCTTACCACACTTTAATACCATCGTCTCAGTGTGGTGAGTGAGACAGAGATGAGTACCCACTGCAGGAGGTAGTCAACGCGGCCATTCTATGCTTCCAGCACTCCAGCTCCAGGGATCTTGGGCGCTGGGGGTACCTGCCTCTCTCAGGTCCAGGCTTATAAACTCGAGTTGTCACGTGAGATACGGCTTCTCTTGAGCAGTGCTTTACCTAACCCCGGGCCACCCAGCTCACCCCTGTTTCACAGCTACTTCTTGCATACTGGAAGAGATCTCTGAGCACAGTGGATAGGGGGTCACTCCCACAGGCCAGACTACAGTTCGAGTCCCAGACCCAGTGGGTTGAAACTCACAGTGGGCCTGGTGGGCCCACTGGTGTGGGTGCCCAAGATCCCAGGAGGAGAATGGAGGGGAAGGGATTGTATGGCCATACCCCCTGGGGGTGATTTCTCACTTTCCCTCTCACTGTCTCTCTCTCTTTCTATCTCCAGTGAGAGAGCACTTGAGCCCTAAGGCAAAAACCTCAAAAAAAAAAAAAAAAAAAAAAAAAAGCATTCAATAAACCATTGTTGAATAAATGTATGAAGGAATGGGACTTCATTCAACTTTTCTAATAAGCAGGAACAGTATCTGTTCTCTAAACACAAAGAGATGGAGGATGAGGCAGGTGGAACCCTAAAATGGAGTTTCAGTCTCACCTGAGTTATGGGACAAGATTTGGGACAAATTATGTTCACCATCAGTAAACCTAACTTTTCTTCTTCTTCTTTTTTTTTTTTTAGAGGTTTTTGCTATGGTGCACGTGCATGCGCCAGAAAGACAGAGAGACAGAGAGACAGAAAGCGAGAAATCACCCCCGCCCCCCCCGCCCCAGGGGGGATGGCCACACCGCAATCCCTTCTCCATTCTCCTCTGGGGATCTTGGGCATTCAGGCACACGCACCCTATGTAAATTTAAGCCACCAGGTCCAGGACTCGAACTGTGGTCGACCACATGGGAGTCCAGTGACATAGCCATTACACCAACTGCTGGTCCTAAACCTAACTTTTCTTAACCCCTCTGAAATAGGCTTGGTTTCCAGAGCAAAAGAAACATGACATGATGCTTTCCTCATTTTTCTTAGCTTATTTGGTTCCCACTCTCTTCAGTTCTGGGAACATTAGGCTGGAAAAATCTCAAGAGCTCCTTTCCACGGCAGGAGAGGGTGAGTGCCTGATTTTCCCATTATTGGGGGAACTTCCCCAGCCTCATAGTCATAGCTGCAGTTTCACTTGTCTTCTGAGTGGCCTTTGGCCCTCTTCAGATTTGCGCCCATCCCTATCATTCCCCACATAGGGCTGTTAGAAGACAGTTCCTTCCCCTGCTCGCTAAGTAGCTCCAGATTTCTCTCCAGGCAGGTCACCACCAAGCTCCAGGAGAATTCCAAAGACAAGGGATGTACACACGACCTTTCAATGTGATCATTTCTTCTTGTACGCTTCCCGATTAAAGAGTTTCCTTAGCTAGTCCTTTGAATAAACTTCCAAAGACACCGAGTGCTCTATTTCCCTGAGAGACTTTTTAAAACATCACCATAACGTGACAACCAACTGGAGTTTCAAGTTATATTTGTGGGCAGTCGGAACAATCACGCTGAAAGGAACAGAAAGCCCAAACCAGCCTGCAAGACCTGTGAATGCTCCTGGGAGCTGACTGCATTTATTCCTAGACTTTGATTAATGGGAATTCCTGGCAGGAGGCCTCATGGGAACCACGGCAGGCAGCAGCGGAGCTGCTTAGAGAGCTTGCTCATCTCCAAGTGGGCACACAGTCTTTGGGAAATGGATGAAAGGAGACCCCTAAATCTCCCTCTGCATGAGAGGCTCCCCGTCTGCAGCTCCCTTCTTGCCCCTCTGTTCAGCTCAATGACAGCTAGCCTCGTGTATACCCCACTGCCCCTTTCTTCTGCCTCACGAGAAACAAGCCTGCTCTGCGAATGGTAACTCGCACCGCTTTGCGATACTATTTTCTCATAACAGTTGTAATTTGTATTTGACATGTGTTTATTCCCAGCAATGTTTCTCTACTGAGTCGTCTGCACCAGCCATCTTTCATGTTGTTAGCTTTAGTTCAGCCTTCAGCACACTGGTCTGGCTTCTGTCCCTGCCACTCCACTGATAGTGTGTTTACCAACCAGGGCTTCTCAGCAAGAAGCTTTCTGTGTGCCCCTCTCTCCATGATCATATCCTTGTCCCCAAGAGGAAACCACCATACTGACGTTCCTGTTAATAATTCTCTTATTGCAAATGTATCCCTGAACACTGCATGATTCACTTCTGCCTGTTTTTGAACTATTGTAAATGGAATTGTTTTGCGTGATTCCTATGCAATTTGCATTTTTTGATAAGCAATGCGTTTCTGAGATTCAGCTACTCGATTTCTCTGTAATGTGAAGGGACTTCAAGAAGTTCATGGGAAAGTGGAATTAAAGTATTTTGGTGCAGGACCAGCAGGTGGTGTTCTGGTTAAGGTGCTGGACACTCCCACATGGCCGACCATGGTTCGAGTCCCAGACCTGGTGGCTTCCTTTCTCCCTTTCCCTCTCTCTCGCTCTCTCTCTGTGTCTCCCTCTGGTCAAATTAAAAATAAATGAATGAATAAATAAAATTAAATAAATAATTTTTTTTAAAAAGTATTTTGGTGCATGGAGCTGGCAGGTGGCATGGTGATTGGCACTGGACTCCCACATGGTTGGCTGCAGTTCGAGTCTCGGACATGGCGGCTTGCTTTCTCACTACCCTCCACACTCTCTCTTTCTCTGGTTCAATTGAAAAATAATAATAATTTAAAATTTTTTAATAATTATTTTTAAAAAGTATTTCAGTGCAAAAAAGTGAAATCCATGCATAGTTTTTTCATAATATGTGTTTTCTTAGAACATTTTGAAGAACCCCCTCCATATATTTCATACCACAATTTAGTTCTCAATCCTATTTTGGATGTTGGGTTGGCTCTAGTTTTTGCTGTTACAAACCCTGAACATTCTTTCATTTATTTATTTTATATAATTGCCAAAGGCTGTGTGTGTTCACCAGAGAGAGACAGAGTAACAGAGAGAGAGGAAAAAGGAGGAGAAACTACTTCCCCAAACTGGGCATGGTCAGACTGCAGTCCTTTCTTCTCAATTCCTCCATTCTGTTGGGATTTGGGGCTTACAAACACACACACAGGCCTGGCACGTGAAAGTTGGTCAGTCAAGTGAAATCCTACTACCTTAACGGCTAGGCCACGGGGCTAGTCCTAGACATTCTAAAATATTTCTCCTGATAGTTGCATGCAAGAATTTTTTTAGACTACATATTTAGAAGTGGAATTGTTGACTTGTAAGGTATGTTCAAATTTACTAGATAATGTCAAGTAGTTTTCTAAACTAGTCATACCAATTTTCATTCCCAACAATGGTATATGATAGTCCCCCTTGCCCATATTTTGCCAGCATTTGTTTTCTTTGTGAATTTGAAATAGTTTCTCATAACAATTATAATTTGTATTTGGCTAAATAGTGTTGAACATCTTTTCATATGTTTATTTGACATCCTTATATCCTCTTCAGTAAAATGTCTCTTTATGTCTTGTGACTATTTTCTTTTCTAAAAAATAATTATTTATTTTATTTTATTTATTATAGTTTTTTTTTTTTTAATTTGTCCAGAGAGAGTAAGCTATCAGGCCCAGGACTTGAACCACAGGTGACCATGTGAGAGAGCAGCATCCCACCCACTATACCACCTGCTAGCCCTTTATTATTATTATTTTTTATCTTGCTATAGTCATCAGAGAGAGAGAGTGAAAGTGAAAATGCAAGCCACCAGGTCTGGGACTCAAACCATATGGCATTCAAATGGCCCAACCACTATACCCACTACTGGCCTCATTATTATTTTCTAATTGGATTTTTTTTTTTTTTTTTTGCAGTTAAGTTTTGAGAACTCCTTATATATTCTGTCCTGTGTCAGATATGCATACCAGTACAGTTGAGCATCTTTAATGTTTAGGAGTCATCTTTGTTTCCTCTTTTGTTAACCAATCATATCTTTTGCCCTGTTTCAGGTGTTTTGAAAAGTCCTTCCCTGGGGACCAGCAGGTGGCATGGTGGTTAAGGTGCTGGACACTCCCACATGGCCGACTAGGGTTCAAGTCCTGAATCTGGTGGCTTGCTTTCTCACTTCCTCTCTCTTTCACTCTTGCCCTCTGTCTCTCTCTGATCAAACCAAAAAATAAATGAATAAGTGAATAAAATAAAATAAATAATTATTAAAAAACAAACAAAAGTCCTTCCTGATCCCAAGTAAATAAAATTTTCATATTCTTCTAGGATGGCCCTATAGCCTAGTGGTTGGGGGAGCTGGATTCCACATGGCTGACTACAGATTGAATCTCAGCTCTGGCAGCTTAAAAAAAAAATGCCAGGCCTGTTTTCATGTGTGCTCAAAATCCTAACAGGATGGAGAAATGGGAGAGAAGGGATTGAAACATAACCAAGTCCCATTGGGGGAGTGTTTCCTCCTCATTCTCCCCTTCCCCACAAACCCTCACAAACACACATGCCTCTGACAAAAAATAATTCTCCCATATTTTCTTCCAAAAGTCTTAAAATTTTGACTTTCACATTTAAGTTCATATTCCCTCTAATATTAATTTATTTTTTCATTTGCAATGCTAGGGATATCTTATAATGAGTTTCTGCGTGTGTATGAGATGTTTTAGGTCCTCTATTTTGTTCCATTTGCCTTTCTCTGTGCTAATAAAATATCGTCTGAAATGCCATAGTTTTATTTCAGATCTTGACGTTTGACCATAGAGTTCCTCCTATGACTTTCTTCTTTTTCTTCTTTACAAAGATCTCAAGTATTCTTAGTCCTTTACTCATCCATAGATATAGAATTAGTGGTTAGATTCCATGAGTAACATAGGATTTTGATTTTTAATAGTCACAAAATTGTTTCTACTGCATTTTAGAGAAAATTTATATTTTTCTGATATTGAGTCATTGGTACAATGTGTGTATAGTTCTATGCAATTTTGTCACATATAGCTTTATGTAACCAGTATCACAATCAAGAGAAAACTATGCTGGGGACCAGCAGTTAGTGTAATGGCTATGTTACTGGACTCCCATGTAGTCCATCTGGTGGCTTAAACTCACGCCGGGTGCGTGTGCATGCATGCCCGAAATCCTGAGAGGAGAATGGAGGAGAAGGGATTGTGGTGTGGCCATCCCCCTGTGAGGTGATTTCTCACTTTCTATTTCTCTGTCTCTGTCTTTCTGGTGAGTGCACATGCCTTATAGCAAAAACCTCTAAAAAAAAAAAATACCACAACTATGTCATCACAAAGAATTCTCTTCATGCTAATCTGGTACAGTCACACTCAACCCCTTTTCCCACACTATCTAACTCCTGGCAACCAGTAACCTGTTCTCTATCTTTAGTTTTGTCATTTCAAGAATGTTATATAAATAGAATCTTATAGTGTGTGACTTTTTTTTTTTTTTTTTAATCATTTTGCCATGGGGCCTGTGCACTCACCAGAGAGACAGAAAGAGAGAGAGCTGAAAACTGAGAAAGCACATCTCATGTGGCATTGTCACACCTCAATCCTTTCTCCTCCATTTCCCCCTCCATTTTGGACTTGGGGCATGCAGGCACATGTGTCTGGTGTGTCCTTCAAGCTGCTAGGTCTGGGACTTCAACTATGTACTTGGTCATGTAGGATCCAGTGCCTTAACCACTGGCTGGCCTTTGGTTTGTGACTTTTTCTTTTCTTTTCTTTCTTTTTAAATTTGCTACAGGGCAAGACAGAGAGAAAGTGAGAGAGAGAGAGAGAGAGAGAGAGAGAGAGAGAAAGTGAGAAAGCATCCCCCCCCAGGTATGGCCACACCACAATCACTTCTCTTCCATTCTCCTCTTGAAATTTTGGGTATGCACACATACGTGCCTGGCATGTTTCTCAAGCCACTGGGTCTGGGACTGAAGTATGCAGTTGGCCGTGTGGCATCCAGCACCATAACCTTATGCCACCAGCTGGCCCATGACCTTTTGAAACTACCTTTCTTTATACTATATAATGTCCTTGGCATTCATGCAAGCTGTTATATGTATCAGTAGTTCATTCTTTTTATTGTTGAGTAGTATTCCATAGCATGGATGTACCAAAGTTTGTTCAGATATTCAACTGTTGAAGGGTATTTGGGTTGTTAATAATTTTCATTAATATAAATAAAGCTGCTATGAACATTCATGTACAAGTTTTTATGTAAACATACTTTTTTAAGAGAATTATTTTATTTAACTTTATTTATATATTTATTTTAATTTGACCACAGAAGGACAGAGTGAGAGAGAGAGGGAAAGCGAGAAAGCAAGCTGTTGAACCTAGGACTTGAACCATGGGTGGCCATGTGGGAGTCCAGCACCTCTAACCATCATGCCAGCTGCAGGCCCAAAACATACATTTTCATTTCTCTGGGAAAATAACCAGAAGAACAATTGCTGGGTTATTTGTTAGTCACATGTTTAGTGTTATAACAAACTATCAAGCTCTTTTCCAGAATGCCTGTACCATTTTACATTCCCATCATCAATGTATGAGGTCCAGTTTCTCTGAATCTTTGCCAGAATTTGGTGTTATTACTCTTTTTCATTTCAGTCATTGTCATAGGTATGTAGTAGTATCTCACTGTGGTCTTAATTATTTGCATTTTCTTTTTATTTATTTATCTTTTTGGGTTTTTTTTTTTTTTTTTTGAGAGAGGTTTTTGCTATAGGGCACGTGCGCTCACCAGAAAGACAGAGAGAGACAGAGAGACAGAAAGTGACAAATCACCCCCCAGGGAGGATGGCCACATTGCAATCCCTTCTCCTCCATTCTCCTCTCAGGATCTTGGGCACGCACTCACATGTGCCCGGATTGAGTTTGAGCTACCGGGTCCTGGACTCAAATTGTGGTCAACCACATGGGAGTTCAGCGACATAGCCATTACACGAACTGTTGGTCTCAATTATTTGCATTTTCTCAATTACTGAGTGGTGAACATCTTTTCATGTGCTGTTTTGATATCCATATATCCTCTTCAGTGAAATGCCTCTTTATGTCTTTGGAGTATCTTCTGGTTTTATTTTTTATACTGTTAAGTTTTGATAACTCTATATATTCTAGATATGAGTCCTATGTCAGATATGTGATTAGCAAATATTTTACTCCAGTCTGTAGCTTGCCATTTTGTCCTCTTAATAGAGTCTTTGTAGAAAAAAAAAGGTTTTAATTTTGATAAAGTTCAATTTATCAATTTTTTTTTATGAATGGCATGTGCTTTTGGAGTCACATTCTTTTGTTTCTTTTTCCTATCGTATTACAGTCAATCTACAGCATCCTATGGAATAGAAAGTGGTGACAGAGGGCATCCTTCTCTGTTTCTGATTTTAAGTTATTGGTTTTCCCATCTGTCTCCTTCACTCACTTTTAGTTCCTGAGTATAGGGACCATGTTTATCAGTTACAATATGTCACGATATAAACAATGCATATAAATGATACAAATGAATATACAAATAATAAAATATATAATAGCTAACATGAGTATAAATATCTGTGCTTAGGCTCTTTCTGTCATTCTATTGTGGCACCCTCAGTTTTGACTTTTGTCTTTGGCTTGACATCAAGACAGGAAGAGGATACAAACTTTTCACTGTATTTATTTTAGTTGGTGAACAAATTCTTCTCGAATGTCTCTTAAACCTATTTCTCCTTACATTTAGTGGTCAAAACAGGGTCACAAAGGTAGGGGAAGGGTCATTATACCTAGAATAGATGAATCATGATTCAACCTCTGGGTCTGGGATTCCTTCCCTGAGCACCATGATATCCAGAGACATTGGGATTAGCAAAATAAGAATAAAGTGGGAGAGTTAGTTATGCCACCAACCACATCCACCTGAAATTTCTTCAACTTTTTATTCCCTGAGCCAGGCAATAGCGAATGCATTTGGAGGTTTCTGATCAACTTATCCCCCTTTGTTAAGAGCCACCTCTGCACCCATGAGGGTAGACCTCACAGCTGGACGCTCAACCTTAGTGGACTATACCATTAATTCAGTTATTAGCACATATTTATTGGGACTTGACTACCATCAAACTCCCATGTTGCACAGAAACACAATGTAAATGGTGTATCCTAGAAGTATACTTCATGGAGATTCTAACCGCTGTGCAAGGCACTGAGGATGGAATGGTGAACAATAGCAAGTGGCCCTGGAGTCTAGTGATGAACACAGTGCTTAGTCAAATGTTAACTTCCAGCAGAGGTGTGTGCTTTGTGGGAGCAGTACATGGTGATGTGTTAGACCTAGAATGACCAACTCGCCTGACCTCAATCAGTCACATTTTCTTACTTGGGAACTAAAGATAATAATAACTAATACATATATAGTGCTTACTATTTAAGACTATTTTATATAGTTTAATGGGCTGAATTCTTCCAACAACCCTATTGAGGCATTAATATGATCACCAGTTTAGAGATGAGGAAATTAGTCACAGAGAGGTAAAATAAGTAAGTCTAGGTCACACAGTTAATTAGTAGAACTTAACCCAGGCATCCTGGTTCTAGAATCTGGGCCAGCTTTCACTGGAGGGAGTAGGGCAGTCATCTCCTGCCACACGGTGGGAAAAGCACTGAAAGCTGGTTTTCGTGCAAAGAGACAAGAATGAAAAGTGCAGAGAGAAGATAAACAAGTCCCTTTTTTGTGGTGCCTCAATTATCTCCTGTAGTTCCTGAGATGCCTGTATCAGGATCCTCTGAATATAACGTGACTCTTCTCTCTTTTCTTTTCTTTTCTTTTCTTTTGAGATATTTTTGCTATAGGACATATGCATTCATCAGAGAAACAGAGAGACAGAAAGCAAGAATTCACTCCCCCAAGAGGGCACGTTCACACTGCAATCCCTTCTCCTCTGCTTTCCTCTTGGAATTTTGAGCATGTACACATGCACACACACACTCCTGGCGTGAGTTTCAAGCCACTGGGGCCAGGACTCAAACCACAGTTGACTACATGGGAGTCCAGTGATGTAACCATTAAGCCAAATATGACATAATTTTAAAATATCACCAGCAGGTATATGATTGAGTCTCTACCATCCACTCCTCCTTCACTCCTCTGTTAGGAGGTATATTACTGCAAACATCAGAACATGCCACCCCACAGTTCACACAGAACTTTCCAACTGGTTTGTCACCACCATTTATTTGTGTGCCATAAATGAGTTATAGATATGGCTAAGTTATTGATCCCCTCAGCCTTTGGGGCAGCTGGACAGGGACCAAAGTGACCAAATTCTCTGTGCCAGTCACATCTGGCTGTAAGCAGTGTGCCATACAGATAACATCATTTTAAAAAGCAAAGTTGCCAAAGGGTGTGTGCGCCTGCCAGAGAGAGACACATAGAGGGAAAGTGAGAAAGCGCCCTTCTGGGTACTTCTGGGTACATTGCAGACCATGCCACAATCCTTTTTCCTTCATGTCTCTACCTTTTTTGGGATTTAGGGTGTTCATACAAATGTGCGTGGCATGTTTCTCAAGCCTCCAGGTCTGAGACTTGAACCATGTAGTCAGCTATGTGGAATCCAGTCACCCTAACAACTATGCCAGAGGTTGGCCCCAGGTAGCATTACTTTCTGTGTGTGCCATAACCAGACAAGGTGGGGAGGGGCTGGCCTAAAGAATAGACTTCTCATTTTCTCATGAAATAAGAAGTTTGAGCCCTTTCAGCCACTATCTTGGCTCTGTGTTCCCCGTACAGGTATGGAACAGAATCTATCCATGCCAGAGCTTGAGGAACACAACTACACACAGGCAACCACATGGCAAGCCCAGCCGGCAGCCGCAGCTGAAAGGGATGATGAGCCAGTGAGTAAAGCAACACAGTAGGAATGAAAAGAAGGCACAGAGGGCTGTGTCCGAACGGAATCGTCTATAGGTTGGAAAGGGGGACGATTAGAGTCACTGTCTAAAATCTAAGAATATCCTCTTTGCCATCACAAAACCAGGGCTAGCCACAGACACCTACCTCTTTTGGGGCAAAACCAAGATCGAGGATTTAAGTCTGCAAGCATGATTAGGAGATGTTAAGAAACTCAAAGTTTTGAGACCAGCAGATGGTATAATGGCTATGTTGCTGGACTCCCATGTAGCCACCTGGACCTGGTGGCTTAAACTCAGGCCAAGCGTGTGTGCGTGTGTGCCCAAGATCCCGAGAGGAAAAGGGATTACGGTGTGGCCATCCCCCCCTGGGGGGTGATTTCTTGCTTTCTGTCTCTCTCTGTCTTTCTGGCGAGTGCACGTGCCCTACAACAAAAACCTCTCAAAAGGAAAAAAAGAAAAAGAAAAAAGAAAGAAACTCAAGTTCAAGCTGAAATTTTTCAAATAGTCAAGAAAACAGATTAACTGTACCAGAGCACAGTAAGGGTAAGAGGTTGATTAAGTAGTATAAAAGTTAAGGACACAGAATTGGTCAAGTAGGTCAAGAGCAATAGCAGTCTGAGCCCTGAAGAACAATAATGATATCGTAAATGCCATATGGAACTAATCACCTCATCATCTGAAAATGAGGACCCTTATTTGTGGTGTTTGAAAAGCGTAACTGCATCTTGGTTTGAGCCTTTTTTAGCTTATTTATGTTATGTATAATAGAAAGCAGGTGGTGTACATGTGAGAGAGAGAGGAAGCCCCCTGAACAGGCTCTTGTACACCATGATTCCTTCCCCCAGCCTTTCAGCCTACCAGGATCCTGGGGATATGTGTGCTTGGTGTGTTCCACGTTGACCAGGGCAGTTATCCAAACCCCACGTCAGTCATGTGGCTTCTAGTACTGAAAGAAACTTCCAGTACTGAGCTCACTATACTATCAACTGCACCACCAGGCTGGGCCGTGGTTTGAAATTTTTACTGTTCCTCTCATTAACAAAGTTGTGGCTTCTTGTTTGTTGAGGGAAAAAGAGTTTGGGGTAGGCATATCCAAGTTTGAGTGTGGCAGTTCAGTAAGGCCATCTAGACATTTTCTCTTTCTATTCTGCTATTCCTATGACTGTGTGCATGTGTGTGTGTGCATGCGTGCATGCGCGTCTGGATTGATATGATTCTGTTACCTCATGATGAAAAGCCTAGTGCCAGGGGGACTGTTCTGACTCTTCAGTCTCTTCAAACCCTTTCCTAGAGGGTTCCTTGAAGTTTCCCAGCAGGATTCCCTCCTTACATCTTCCTGACCAGATGTGAGAAAGTCTTAGAACTAGATGTTCTTACTTTCCCCACCTCTAGTTTGGGAAGTGGGCTGAATGAGGGGTTTGGGCTTAAGCTCAGTGATACAGGTGGTTGTGTACTGATCTATAGTACCGGAAGTCACACATCCAGTGGTTCAGATCCAGAGCTGACATGAAGCATGCCTGGTCCATATTCACCAAGGATCCTGACTGGCTGGAGGGCTGGGGGAGGGGGGTTGCAGTGTGGTAAGCCCTGTCAACGGTGCCTGTTCGTCTCTTTCTCATGTACATGCTCTCTCTCATGAAAGAAATAAAACAAATTAATTTTTAAAAATGAAAGAGCTTGAGAATGGGTGGTAATTAGCTGCTAGACAGTTTATTACTTTTGTTAGATAAAATAAAATGATATGTGTAAGTGACATTCCTGGATTTCATTTTAGTGGATTTTTTTTTTTTTAACTTGACAAAAGGCAAGTGTGCTCTCTAGAGAGAAAGAAAGTGAAAAACACCCCTCATAGGGGATAGTCATGCTGCAACCCTTTCCTCCACTTCTCCTTTCAGGATTTTGGGCATACAAGCATGCACAAAGTATCTCAAACTGCTAGGCCTAGGACTTGAACTACACAGCCGGCCACATTGGATCCATCCGCTCTAATCACCACACCACTGATGCTCCCCAGGATTTTTAAAAAGAATTATTTATTTAATTTTTACTTATTTATTATTGTTATTTATTTTTTAACTTTGTTATAGGGCACATGCACTCACCAGAGAGAAACAGATAGAGAGAAGGTAAGTGAGAAAACAAGCCTCCAGGTCTGAGATGCAAACCACAGGCCACTTGGGAGTTCACTGTTTTCACCATACCACCTGCTACCCCACACCACTAGGTTTTAGTAAGGATTTTTTGTCTTGGAGAATCTGACTTCCACTGACATGTGGAACAGTGAATACCTCTGTTCTGCTGACTTTGTTGTTAAGAACTTCCTGCTGCCATGTTATAGCACCATTTTTATCAGAGTTTGTCTTTAAAAGTAGGTGGTGCGGTAGTTAAGGCGCTGGACTGCCACACGGCTGACTGCAACACAGTGACTTAAAATTCATGCTGGGCATGTGTGCATGTGTGCCCAAGATCCTGAAAGGAGAACTGGCATAACCAACCTTCCTGAGGGACAATTTCTTATGTTCTCTCTCTGTTTGTCTTTCTCCCTGGCAAACACACATGCCCTATGCAAAGGCCTTTAAAAAAAAAAGTCCATATGAAAAGAAAATTTAATTTTTCATTTTAGAGAGATTTTTGCTATAGGGCGTGTGCACTCGCCAGAGAGATAGAGAGAGACAAAGAGACAGAAGGTGAGAAATCCCTCCCTAGCGGGGATGGCCACACCACAATTCCTTCTCCACCAGGCTCCTCTCAGTATTTTGGGCATGCACATACATGTCTGGTGTGAGTTTTAAGCTGTCAGGTCCAGGACTCAAACTGTGATCGACTATGTGAAAGTCCAGTGATATAACCATTTTGACACCTGCTGGTCCCCAAAAAGTTAATTAATTAATTAAAATTAAAAAATTATTTAACTCTATTAGTTACTATTATTATTTTTTAAATTTGACCAGAGAGAGAGAAAGGGAAAGTGAGAAAGCAAGCCACCAGGTCCAGGACTCGAACCACAGTCAGCCATGTGGGAATCCAGTGCCTTTAATCACCATGCCACCTACTGGCCCCAAAAGTTAATTTAAAAAGTAAATGTTTTTCTTAGGATTTTGCTATAGGGCACATGTGCTCGCCAAAGAGAGAGAGAGAGACAGAGACAGAGAGAGAGAGAGACAGAGAGTAGGAAGGCAAGAAATCACTCCTCAGGGGAGATGGCCACCACAATCCCATCTTGTCCATTCTCCTCTCAGATTTTGGGCATGCATGCACACTTACCCAGCATGATATTCAAACCACTGAGTTTAGGACCTGAACTGTGTTCAGTCATGTGGGAATCCAGTGCCTCAACCATCATGCCACCTGCTGGCTCCTAAAAAGTTAATTTTAAAAATTATTTTTAAAGTTTATTTACTTATTTTCTTCTATGAATGAAAGAGAGACAGAGAGAGAGAGAGTGATACAGGCACCTCCAAAAGGTTTTCACACAACTCAGGCTCAGCTGGTCCCTGATCATGGGCATGCATGTGCCTGGTGTTCTCAGAGAGGTCTCTGGATGTGAAACCAAAACCTTCCCATGTGGGTCAGCCTTGCAGAGTGTCATGTTTTAACACTGTACCACCCTCTGCCTCCCTACAAATAAAAGTTAATTTAAAAATATTTAATTTGTTATTATTTTTAAAAATTTGATATAGGGCTCATGATCTCATCAGAGAGAGAGAGAGAGAAAGAGAGAAAGCAAGACACCAGACCTGGGACTTGAACCGCGGTCAGCCATGTGGCAGTCTAGAACCTTAACCACCATGCTACCTGCTGGCTCCAGGTTAATTTTTTTTTTTTATAAAGGCTCATATGTAGCAATTCCATCTCATTAGTGTTTGGAACTTTGTTTAAATAATTACAAGTGTCATGTTTAGTTCATTTATGTCTTGCCATTTCAATCACAACATGATAGACATTTATAAAATGTCCAAAATTGCAGAGTGACGAGAGATTGGCATGTAGCAATACATAGTAACTAAAAGATTGAAATCAACGACCTTGATTCACTTCTCAGCCCCCAGTCCTGTCCTTATCTGGGTCTCACTTAATTTAATAAACGGCATTACCATACATCTGGTTGCTCAAAACAAATGGACCTTTCCTTGACCACTTGAACCAAATCCATCAATAAATTCGATCCATTCCACCTTAAAAATCTATCTCTAATCTATCCACTTCTCTCCTTTTCTACTGTCCTGACTCATTTTTCTTTTGGACTAATACAAAGGTCTTTTATTATTTCTACTTCTACATTAAATTAATGCCTATAACCCATGTCCCGCAATAGCCAGAGCATGTTCCTATTACCTACTGCTGAGTAACAAACCACCTGTCTTAGTCTGTTTTATGTTGCTATAACTGAGTAACTCAGACAGCTAATTTATAATAAACAGAGATTGATGTGGCTCACATTTCTGGAGGCTGGAAATTCCAAAAGCATGGCACCAGCATCTAGTAGTGGCCTTAACACTATGTCATTCCATGGCAAAATGTGGAAGGGCAAGAAAAAAGGATGAGAGAAAAAGGGGTCTAGAAGTCATTCTTTTTCTCAGGCACCTACTTCTGAGATAACTAAACCACTCCAGAGATAATAGCATTAATACATTTGTCAGGGCAGAACTCTCATACTCTCATGACCTAATCACCTTTTTTTTTTTTTTGCTATAAGGTATGTACATTTGCCAGAGACAGAGAAAGAGAGAGAGAGATCATACACACACACACACACACACACACACAAAGGGAATGAACATGCTATAATCCCTCCTTCTCCATTCTCCTCTTGGGATTTTGGGCACACATGACACATGCCCAGTGTGAATTTTAAGCTGCTGGGTCCAGGACTCAAACCACACAAGCGACCATGTAGAATCCAGCCTCCTTAATCTCCTGTCCCCTGCTGGCCTGACCTAATCAATTCTTACTATTCATTAGTCTATGGGCTGGCCTAATGAAAC